ATTTCCGGAGCCCTCCACTACGGCGTCTCTCATAATCATATAGTGGTTTTGGGACGTTAAACCCCACATATCAATCAACTGCAAAGTACGAGTCCTCAACCCTCCTATTTTAAGGAAAAAAAAGTCTAGTTTTTGGTTCATTAGGTATTACGACTCGGTGGCGCTAGCCACCGCCCGATCTGAAGGGTACAGCCACATCAATCCATTCAACCAGCAGTGTTTCTTTGATAACCGCCGCAGATGTCCCACATGTGTTTCCAATGCCCCACGCGTTCCTGTAGCCATTTATATCAGCGCTGTTATTTCGCGCTCCACACTGTCGTCATGACACAGCCGCCGCAGAGCGAGCTCGGATCAAACTCACCTGCCCGAGAAGCTCGGGCCATCCGGCATAGCACCCCGGAATTGTCTAATTTCCCTATTTTAAAGCTGGTGTGGCTTAGTGGCGCGGCTTCGCCGATCTTTCCTCACGAGCAAAAGAAAACTTGCTCACCCTTGGGCATCAATAAAGCAATCACACCAGCAACAAACCATCGTGGTGGTGACCTCATGCAACTGCAGTTGTTTATATCATGCAACAATGTTTCGTGAAAGGCGCTTTAGAAAATATTCACAACGATATTGTTTGCAACGAGAAACCACATCAGGTTCCTGTAGAGCTTCATTATACCATGTGAAAGTCGTTACGCAAATATTTAGAGCAGGTTAGCAGTTCTTGCGACGACATATCCCGTTCGTCACCTGAGTGCATAATACGTGAAGAGACACTGCCAGGAACGGAGACACTATATCTCCGCATCAGAACAAGACACTTCTCGGTAAAGATCACTAGACCACCGTGGCTGGTAGTGCGAATGATTATGACACAAAAATGAACATGTGCTTACCTTTCTCAAAAATTCTTGACAAGCTGATTTTCCATACCACCACTTTTTCTTTAGTTTTAGCAGCTCTCCACTTTCTGAAAGCTTGGCAATTGCTTCATCCAGAGGCTTTCTAAAAGACACAACAGAGAAAGCGCAGAATCACAGGATCGCTCGCCACTCTGGCACAGTACGCTCTGTTTTTTTTATTTGTTTTTTTTTTGCCGGTGAGTGTAACATCTGCCTCTCTGGTGTGGTTGCGCTGAGTGAAAGGCAGAAAGGACTAAAGAAAACGGTACGGGTACGTGAGAAAACTTTCAACTGTTTATTTTCACAAAAACACGTCAGACATACTCACACAGCAGGAATCATAGCGAAGAACTGTATATGTGACGCGCTATGAAATCTGTTTCGATGAGGCATAGTTCATTGTCATCACTTTTATATGGTGCGTATTTTTACATGCTTTTGCGCAATTAAAGTGGAAACTTCCTGTATACATACATGTTCTGTTCCCTTTGTTCTTAGTCCACGCATTTCGCTCAGCGCAACGATACGCTAGAATGTAACGCCAACGATCCTAAGCTAAAACTGTTGTTTAACATCTAACCTGATAGCAGAAAGTACGCTCTTAGTATCTTTTATACGGACCTCCTACTGTACGCGAAGAAAATATTTTAAAGCAAATTAACTTTACAAACCAATACAATCATGGTCGGGGAATATTTGTTGTCGAGAATATTCTTCCTAGCAGTGAGAAGCATGTTCAGTCAAGGTGAGTTGTTGTAAAAGATGCACTAGTAAGTGTTAGGCATCCATAACACACCGGCTACGCCTCCACGGCGAAACATGGGGTAAAATAAGTAGCATATAGTACTATCACTGTTATAAATAAAAAAGAGTGAGAAAAATTCATACGTGTTCTGGATTAAAATATTTCTTTTATGTTTCGTGATGCTATAAGCACTGATCGCATGCAGCTGGAAAGAAACAACGTGACGCAGTACTTGTATTAACATGAAACACAATCACTGATCTGTAAGCTTTTCGCACACATCACTCTGAATTTAAACATGTTACAGCAGGATTAGGGCATGCGTTGCCTTGTGAACTTAAATCCGAAAAATAAACGAGGCAGATTCGTCTTTCTAGGAATCTGTACAACTTGAAAGTGAAACGTTTCTTCTGAAAGGTAATCGAGCGTTTATTGTGCATTGTTTCACCACAAGGGTGAAAGAATGAATCCTACATCAAGAAATTGCTAAGTCACACGAAGAACAGCAAGAAGCTCAAAACTGGCAGCGCGACACGCATGCCAAGCGGGAAACATGCACTAAATGAGCGTACGCAAACGAGCGTGGACTGACTACTACTGAAGCGCACTGTGCACACACAAAGAGAGAAGCATGAAACGAACGCACAAGTATAAACAGGACCAGCGCGAACGATTGTCACAAATCTTATTTCCTCGCGTTTGAGCAGCGTGCACATTTCATGAACGCGGCCGCGGCTGCAAGCGAAGTGACTTTTGTGTTCTCCTAAACCGCGAGTCTGATAAGCGCGCGCAAAAGAGACCACGCTTTGTTGAGGCGGCGCTCATCGAAACACGAGAGGGACAACCTTTGGAGCGCGCCCAACGTGAGCCCATCGCACCATCTCACTATTGATATTAGAAATGCGTCGATGTTGCGTTTGCGGAGCCCTGACGACCGCCAAACGGTGTATGGCGTATATAAATGGCTTGCCATTACTGATCCTGACCACGTCCTCTCCAAAGCAGTGGGCAGCGTCGCGCACTGGCGCTTGAGAAGTCGATTGTTCGATGTTTTGCGAGAAAACCTTTCCTTACAGCTTTTAAAGACAATAGTTTTTCTTGCGATACTTTTGGTCTCTTAATCTACGAACGATACCACCATTCGGCGAAACTTTACACCCTTGCTCGACGCCCCTCCACTCTTTTCTTGTGACTGCATCCATACGTACTTCTGAATATTGTCATTCAAAAAGCAAATATTACACATATTCGATGCGCAACATCAGTAAGTAAGTATTAGGTAGTATGTCTCTTTATTTAGAAAACACATAGACACGTAATTTTAAAGACTGCAGTGTTTATTTTCCTAGGGAGCGCGGTGATAACAGGCACAGAGGAATCCACTGGCGCACGCGCATCTCAGAGGCTTTAGGCACAACAACGCCTCCTTTATTTCAATGCCAGTGCAAACGCGCGCTTCTCAACGGGAGCCGTCGGCCCGCCCTGATTCAGGAAGTGATCTTAATGCGGCGCTATATGAGGGGTGGCGCTGCTCGCGTCACACGTGTGAGCGCCTTTCCCGCGAATATGCGATAGACTTGTTCCTAACAGCAATATCATACGTCTGTCAGATTCGTTCTTTCATGCTGCTTCTTTCTGGCTCGAGACAATGCCGCCACCGCGTCACAGAGCAGCACATGCAGACAATTTGCAGGGACCCTTCCTCATTGGTTTGCCGCATAGCGCCACCAACGGTGACACGCTATCTGAAAACACCATATATTTAACAGAGCCAGCGTGACTGCCAATATTGTGAACATGAGGAATGCAAGACGCCACCCCACGGATCTGTGCACAGCTGAACAAAAGATTACTTCATATGATTTCCGTAATGAGGCACTGCACGAGGGGCTACTCTCCCCCGTGACTGCAAAGCACACCTGAACGCTAGGCTATGGGAGAGGGTGGGAAAGGGCTAGAGGAGAAGGTCGAGAATATCTGAATCGAGAGCATCTGGCTGGCATGATAAAATAGAGGCAGCATTGGATAGAATCTCTTATTTCACAACATTACCACCAGTCGGCGTCCAACTTTCGCGCAGCAAGCACCTCTTCTATTTTATGAATACCAGCTATATGCGACTTGTTTACCATAGAAAATGGGCTGTCTGAGGAATCACGGGTGTCCGCGGATGAGACCAGGACTGATGTATTACGACCGGCAGAAGACTATCATCTTTAAACGACATTTGCTTTGAAGAATGCCCATATCCCGCAAAGTTTTTTTAGCAATCTGTTAGTATATACTTTACAACGTCACAGCCATGACGAAAATGAGTAAGTGGAGCAATGGAGGGCCCCGGCATAGAGCACTTCCCTGTTAAACTAAATCAAGACTTACGTTCCTGTATCTTCACTTTACTACTTCAGAAGGAAACAAGGTAGATATATATTTATTGTGAAAGACAAACTGTTTTCTACATGTTCATGGTGGTAGTGATGAAGCGTGAGAAGGGTATAAATCAATCAGTTTTGCATGTACCCTGAAATGGTTCTGCCGACTTAGTAAAACACATTGAGATGGTAGATCAAATCTTACGGATGGTTAGTGGCCTGATTTGAAGACTCTGATGAAAGTGTAATTTATTATACGGTTTAAAACATAAGCGCAACGCAGCACAATGCAGCGGCGCAGCTGGATGAGTTTTTAGCAGCCCCTGCCTCCCGGCGCGTTGTATAATTGAGTCAAACTGTTCAGTTGCCGCCAGTTATATTGTGAACGTGTGTTGTCTGTGGTGGCTACAAAGTTTTCTACTTTGTTACCCTTATTTAAAGAAACTATGAATCATCTCCCTGAACGGAACTTAGATGGGATGCGAAGCAGCAGCCTTGCGCAGCCGGAGAAAAAGTGGGAGTTGCGCCCAATGGCCTCGGGCACAACCACACGCCGTCGGACGACTCGAAAGGTGACACATTGACCCAACAAGTACTGCTGACTGAGCGAATTGGTGCATGATAAAATGATATTGCTTGAGCACAGATTAGTTTGAGCGTAAAAAGAAAAAAAAGATGCTATACGGTCAAGAAAGGAAAAAACACAGACGGGGAAAAAAAAAAAGCGAAAGTTTGAGCGCTATACTGTCCCCTGTTTTTTTTTCCTTTTTTACCGTATATAGCATCTTTTATTCACGCTCAAACTGTGCTGCTCAAATTCAATGCCATTTTAACATTATCCCGACCACTGAGCACTCGTTCAAGGAGGCGAATAGGAAGAATAAACAGCGTGAACATTTCCGACATAGCTATTTTAGATCCTATTCAAAGCTCTCAAACAAATGTTTTAAGCAGCCTTTTATTTTGAAGTCAGGAAACTTCGTTTAAAAGTCATCTGAAGGGGACATAGACATACAGATCAGGATTGTACGTGGAATCTTGCCAGTACTATTTGCTGTTTTAGGGTGAACAATGCAGTTCTCATAAACTCCCCACTGTGAAAGGAATGTACCTGAGCACTGATTCTTTGGGCAAAGCCACGGCGAAGTTTCGTCGTCCGAAAGGCTCTCCCAGTGTGGCGGTGTCGCAGGGTCGTTGGTTGCTAATGTACTCCGCCTTGTTGGCGTCCATGAAAAAGGCATATCGGCCCCTCGACGAGCGCACCCGCTCCACGCCTTCGCTGTCTGAAGCGGTGAACACGTCCGGCCTGCTGTTCATCGTTTCCCACATGCGCTTGTGCACGCTAGAGTTCAGGTTCGGGTTCTGCGAAAGGAACGACAATTATTACATCGCAGCAATGCTACACGTCATGTCCTAGCGGCTAGTCTGCTCACAGCTGTGCAAGAGGACGATGACAGCGATGTTTGTGAGCGTGAAAATAGACACACAATGACGCCAAGGAAAGTAATAGTGGTAAGTGCAATCTAACTGTAAAGAGATGACGTCATGCGGTGTCATGAGAGACGGGATCATCAAATAGGATAGTATACATTCATTTACCTACTACTAAGACTGGTCAATGCACTTTCTCACTGAAATGTGATATGCCCTCATGACTTTGCCCTTTCAGCGCCTCAGTTATGTGAATGCAACAGTGTGACATGCAATGCTATCTTAAAAACAGCCTTACTCATATTGGCATTGTGTAAATAATGAAAGGAATCTAACCTTTGTACTTTAGTATATCCACCTAAAACTGATTTTGTGGGATCTGACTGAAGTAAAAAGGACCATCGTCGAAGCTGACACGCTAAATTGATCACTTGGTTGCAATCGTGCCGTTATGTGCGCGTCATTCCTCAAGCAAAAGAACAAGGCCTCTTTCTTACGTCATTCGGTTGCATTTATTTATTTATTTATTTATTTCAATACCCTCAGGGCGCAGGGTATTGAAATAAATAAATACAACCGAATGATGCACGTATGACACGCTAGTATCGAGCTATTGATACCGACTGATTTTTATCGACGCCTATATTGAGGTTAACAATTTGCATAGAGTAATAACGTTGTCAGTTATAATAATGTCCTTGTGGTCTATAAACCAGCAAAAGAACAGACTTTAGCAATAATTGGTTTCTTACATTCAATGATGCCATAACGCTAAAAACACGAGCGCCCGTCCTGTTATATTCCTTAGTTCCTGAGTGTTTAACTCTGTGACCTTATTGAATACAAGCCACCATCTTGTTATGCGCCGATACGTAAAGTTTATAGGGGTTTCGAGGCTGCTCGGCCCAGAACCCCGTAGGGAAGACACAGAGCCAGACCAGGAACCTTCTTTATTCCTCTAAGCCTCGGCCGAAACTGCCCACTTCCAGCGGCTGCCCATTGTCCCTAGCGCACTCGTGGATCTCCTCCTCTTTCTACGATCAGCGCGCTTGCGGCCGCCACCCCCATACTTGCTCATCCTCTTCGGAAAAAGTGGGGGAGGAGCACGCAGGCGAAGTCAGAGAGCTAGCCCACGCAACTGTCCTGGCTAGCCTAGGCCACAGCGGGTCGCACGTGGCGGCCACACGTCGGCACAGTCAAAGCCAGCTCCTCGTGGCACTTCATTAGCTTCCAGGCGCGGAAACTGTTCCGTTGAGCGGCGAAAGCAACTCCACCGCCGCTCGAAGACAGAGGCATACCGGACTCACTCAGGTCGACGGCCACGGTCGTCAGTGAGCGCATGACAGAACGCCGATACTCACGGGGCAGCATCGGTCCTCGCGAGCCGTAAACCGTTGTTCTGCGTCGTTGCCGTTGGAGCTGTCCATACCGTTTACGCATCGAGGGCGGCCACTCCTCCACGTGATAGTCTTCGAACGCTGGTAACCCCGGCAGCCAGGGAGGCATGACGTCCCCGTAGATGCTTTGACTGCATCTGCCTCCGGTACCGGATTGCCTTTCATACTATATCTCGGCGTAGTTTTGGTGTGCGAGGACAGCCACCTTGCATGCAGGTCAGAAACACTGGTGCAGTAGCTCGCTTTAGGCACAACTTCCTACAACTGCTTCACGTTTTCTGTCGCCCTCTCCATGGATTCCTGCAGCTGTGTCATCACTTCTTCCGGTCTGGGTTTATGTTTGCCCACTTGCTGCTGCCCTGCCTCAAGCTCCTCCATTGGCCGCTTGTTTTCCCTCTGATCCGCGACAAGCACCTGTTCCAGCTCTGCAAGCTCTGACTGCAGTGTCTCTATTTCTACCTCACTGTTCTGCAGACTGTGCTTGAGGATAGTCTCAGACTGTGGAGCTAGACTGAGCTGCTTTTTCAAATCGGAGATCACTGCCGACAAATATTTTTGGCCAGCCTCGAGCCCTTGGATCCGCTCCTGTGAATCAGAGACCTCTGCTGACAAAGCCTTTTGGCCAGCCTCGAGCCTTTAGATCCACTCCTGCTTCTCCTCACTCTCTGCTTCATTCTTGTTAAGTTCCAACGTTAGTGCCTGCGCTTAACTGGCTTTTCGGTGGTGGTCCTGCCGGGCGTGGACGAGCTGCGCACGGAGATCAGCCCCCTGCATTCGTAGCTCCTCCAGCTGTGAGTCTTGGAGTACGTACTGCCGTTGGAGCTCTTCCCCGTGGATGCACCGTATTTTTATTTATTTATTTATAATACCCTCAGGGCCAAATGGCATTACAGAGGGGAGTGGATTACATTGAATAACACATGGTACATGGTGGGGAGGGAAAAATACAGCGTTAGTACGAATATAAGCAAAAGTCAGCGTACAAACAAAAATACATTAAATAGGTCCTGCGTATACAATGTTAGCTACGGTATCACGAAAAAGGTGGTTGTCGTTAATAGCAACAATTTCAGGAGGAAGGTGGTTCCACTCGCGAGAAGAACGAGACAGGAACGACTGCGCAGCTGTGTTAGTACGATAAGTGATAATTCCAACCTTGTGACGGTGATCGACACGATTGGAAAAATACTGGGGTTGCAAAATAAGTTCGTCGCGCAAGATGGGGTGGTGATACAATTTATGAAAAGTTGATAGGCGCGAAACTTTTCTTCGAAGTGACAGGGTAGGCAGGGACAGATTATTTTTCATTGCAGATATACTGGCAGTGCGATTGTAGTTCGATAATATGAAGCGTGTGGAATTATTCTGAACTAGCTCAAGCGATGTAATTAAATTAATGTGGCTGGGATCCCAAATAGAAGAAGCATATTCTAGTTTAGGTCGTATTAATGTTTTGTACAGGGCTAATTTCAATGAAGATGGAGCTTTGGAAAAGTTACGGCGTAAGTACCCAAGCGTACGGTTAGCTTTGTTGATTATTTGTTCGACGTGCATTGCCCAAGAGAGATTGGATGTTATGTGGACGCCTAAGTACTTGTACGAGTTAGTAGATTCAAGAGGTATGTCGTTTAAGTAGTAAGTAAATTGACTGCAAACACTGCGGGACACGCGCATGACTTTACATTTGTTTATGTTCGATTCCATTAACCATGTACGGCACCAGTTATTAACAGTGTTAAGGTCTGATTGAAGAGTACACGAATCGGTTATGTTATTTACCTCACGAAAAATAACGCAATCATCAGCAAATAAATGAATTATGGATTGAATGTGGCAGGGGAGGTCATTAATATAAATTAGCAATAAGAGAGGCCCAATTACCGATCCCTGAGGAACGCCGGAGTGTACTTCAGTAAAACAAGAATTATACCCGTTAGCGTAAACAAATTGTGAGCGATTTGTGAGAAAACATTCAATCCATTTAAACACGTTATGATCAAGTTTCAGTTGGCTTAGTTTGTGAAGTAAAAGTTTATGACATACCTTATCAAATGCTTTGGAAAAATCTAAAAAGATGCAATCAGCTTGTGATGAGATGTCCAAAATGCGGTGTAATCTGTTATTTTTTATTTATTTATTTATTTATTTATTTATTTATTTATAAATAAATAAAAAATAAAAAGTAATCTGTTAGTAAATGATACCAGTTGTGTGTCACAGGAGTATGATTTACGAAAGCCGTGCTGAGATGACGTGAAGAAGGAATTACTTTCAAGAAAATTTACAAGGTTTGTGAATATGATGTGCTCTAATAGCTTACAGCATGTACTGGTAAGGGAAATGGGACGATAATTAGCAGGGGAACTTTTACTACCAGATTTATGAATAGGAACGACTTTCCCGATTTTCCATTCAGATGGGAGAGTAGAAGTGTCGAGTGATTGCTGGAATATCTTGGCTAATATGATGGAACTAATTTCTACAGTATTTCTTAAAAATTTACTATTAATTGAATCATAACCAGGGGAAGAATGGTTGCCTAATTTGTTGATAAGGGAAGCGATACCAGAAATGTCTACTAAAATTGGTGGCATGGGGAGATGATTGTAGCAAAAGGTGGAAGGAAGTGGAACATCAGATGTTTTTGTAAACTGGGCAGCAAATGTGTTGTTGAGGGCTGTTGCACACTGATTGATGGGAACTGTGTCACCAGATGAGTCTTGCAATAAGATGTAATTATCTTTTGGGGGATTGATAACGCGCCAGAACTTTTTTACATTTGTTTTTAACATTGATGGCAATACATTAGAGACGAAGTTATCTTTAGCTTGTTTGAGTGCCCTGACGTAAATACTAGATGCGGTATTATAAGCGGCCCATCGTTCGTTAGTTGGCAAGCGCTTAGCTGAACGATAAAGGCGTTTTTTCTTGTTAGACAGGCGTTTGATAGTGGTATTGTACCATGGCGATTGTGAGTGACTAGCAATAGTGTAGGTTGGTATGTGCTTTACGGTGAGGCGATGAACTTCGGCAGCAAACATATCCCAGTTAGACTGAACGGAACGGTTGTTAAAATTGGTCAGAAAGACGTCGGTAAACTCAGATAATTCACGATTGATAGCATCGAAGTTAGCTTTTTTGTAATCGCAAATAGTTTTTTCATTCTGGTGCTTTTAGGAGGGGTAGCGTGTAAGTCAAAGGTGAGCAATGAGTGGTCACTAATACCTGGTAAACAGGTAATAGTTGAAACAAAGTCTGGATGGGTGGTTAAAATCAAATCAAGAGTATTCGTCGTAGTAAATGATACTCGGGTGGGTTCGGTAACTAACTGTGACAAAGAGAAGACAGAACAAAAATCTAGGAAATCTTTAGAAAGCGCTGAAGAGGGTGATAAAACCGGAGGGGAGGTATGCCATTTGATATTTGGGAAGTTAAAATCACCAAGAAGGAACAATGGATACGATGGAAATCGACTGATAATAATATTGACAGAATCATGCAATTCGTTAACGAACGTAGAGGACGAAGATGGTGAGCGGTAGCACACACCTATGATTACTTTGAGATGACCGAGCGTTAATAACGAGAAAAATATTTCTAGGTTACTGTTCACATGAATGGGAGATGAAGGAATGTCTCGCGAAACAGCTAGCAACACTCCGCCACCTCGGCGCTCCGTTCTGTCACATCGATAGACTGTAAAATGTGACGCATTTACGAAAATTTCCGAATCATGCACGTGTTCAGGAAGCCAAGTTTCAGTTTATGCGATTATGTGGGCAGAACATGAGTCTATTGCGCTTGATAATGAGTTGTGTTTGTTTAGAATGCTTCTTATGTTAGTAAAAAGTACAGAAACACGAGGCGTAGACTGTCAGCCACTGCCCCTTGCGTTTACCTACGGTGACGTTCGTAGCAAAGTGTCGTTGGTAGGACCAGAGCTTCGGCTACTTGACGGAAGTTGTTCGATGCTATCGCTAGCTGCATTATAAATGTAGATTTTGCGGTTGAGATGCAATTTAGTGTAGCGCAGTTGAAAATCGGGGGATCCGGGGTAGTTTTTGCCAAATTCAATTAACTTTTTACGAGCAATTCGAGTGCAGGGTGAATAATCTTCGGATACAGATATGTCACTTTCTTTGAAATGTTTTCGCTTCGAGAGAATAAGCTCTTTTGTTTTGAAACTGGCAAGTTTTGCTATGACAGGGCGACACTTGTTTGGGGAGTACGTACCGAGACGGTGGGCCCGTTCGATGGCGTTACTGGGGAGAGACATATCTGCATCGGCTAGTAAGGTATTTAACTTCGACTCAGTTTCTTTCCAGGGTTCTTTGGCGTCAGGGATACCGTGAAATATTAAGTTGTTACGGCGAGACCGGTGTTCTAGTTCGTTTAGACGCAACTGCAAAAGGTTATTTTCAGTGGTTAGTTCTTCTACAGATTTCTCGGCGGTAGATAGTCGATCACTAAAGGCATCGAGATCCTTTAACTTGCTTTCAATTTGATCTAGTCGGCTTTGTATATTTGTCATTGTTGTTTCGATTCCTTTTTGGCCAGTCCTAATCGTTTTTACTTCTGTTACTAATTCTGCTTGACTCTTCGAACTTTGAGATGAGCGTAAATGAATGTCTTTCAGCAGTTGAAACACAATTTTCATTTGTTCAGCGGGGTTATCAGGCAATGACTCAACTTCTAACAATGATTCAGAGCGAGTAGTAGGCCCGGGATTCTCTTCTACGTCACCTGAACACAGCAGTAATGAGGCCATAGAAAAACACTCAGCAACGGTCTCGCACAACACCCGTGGGCACGGGAACAGCAATAGGAATGGATCATCATTTTTTCTAGCATGCAATGAATACTTGTTACACACCTGCATGGTGAAAACAACACGGGTGAATGCGACGCCGTTGGCGCTGCTCCCGTGCCCACTGAAGCCTGCCGGGGGGGGGGGGGGGGGGCAGCTCGTATATGTGTGCCGGGGAAGATGATGTCGCTGAAGATTGGGCTGGGAACCGAAGGTCGAGTTCCATCCACCTGTCGGGGTCGATGAAAGTTGCGTTGTCAGGTCTTCCTAGGAGCTGCACGCAGGCGTAGTGGCTGTTTCCAACCACGTTTTGCGGGAGTGCGTACGAGCAATCGGAGCACCACGATACCACGGGCAGCCATGACACGAGCAATGCAAGCAAAGCCTGCATGGTGAAAACAACACGGGTGAATGCGACGCCGTTGGCGCTGCTCCCGTGCCCACTCTATGTTTTGCAGTTGAGTGTCCTCTCCAGCATGTGCCCTTAAAACTTCGCACAATGCTGCTGCAGATCTTTGATGCGCTTCTGGGAATCCTCAAGCAGCCTGCTCATGTGACTGCGCTGCTGCGAGTCCTCAGATAACCTGTTCTCCAGAGCACAGACCTTGTCCTCCAGTTCAGAAATGCGGCGTTTCTTCTCAGCAATCACGATGATCGCCTTGGACTTGTGGTGATCCAGTTCAGCTTCAAGAGCAGCCTTGGCTTTCTGAAGGTCACGAGTGCGAACTTGCTCTCCACCCTGCCTGTAATACTCGTCTGCCTCTGCATCTTCATTTACGCCATCCGCACCGCAGCCTGCTTCCTCTCAGCCTGCAGCAGCGTCTCTCTCCGCGCAATGGTCTCCTTTCGTGTGATCTTCGTTTTCTGCCTCCGCATCAATGCGCCGCACGTCGTGGTGTCTTTTTCCTTTTCTTTTCTACCTTTTTCTCTTTCTATTATCAACATCATCGTGAGTGCCATCGGCAGCTCTTTCTCGGGCCGAAGCACCGTCTCGTCTCGTGGCGTCTCTCCACATTGGTACCTACCTCCACGCCGACCTCGGCTATGTACCATGCACCCTGTCTACACCATTGGACCTCTACCACCCCTCTGTGGAACTCGTCTCCCTCCTCCACGACGATGGGCACGACCGGAGTAAACGCCTCAGCAATTTGCTGAGAAAAGCAAGCAAGCTCTTCGAGGGGAGAAAACGAGCGGTTCAACAGGCGCAGCTGCAAACGAGGCTGGCATTGTCGCATTACATGCGAGACTTCAACGGCTTCAGGAACAGTGAGGTCCCCCCGATGGAAGAGCTGCTGCATGGCCCGAACGTATTCTCGCAGACCCTCCTCTGGGTGTTGCGTTCGAGCATCTAACCCGCAGCGGATATGGCAGTGGTAGGCGACCGGCAAGAGCTCTTCCCGAAATGCCACGACTAACTGGTTCCAGGACTGCAAGGGAGGTTGAAAATGACGCCATCGTTCTGTGGCACCACGTAGGGCAACTTGGAGAACCCGCCGGAGTATGTCAGTCTCCGAAAAGCTGCTAATGGTCGAGTACTCGAAAAAACCGTCAATAAAGTCGAGGACTGATTCCCCCGTGTCTTAGCTGGAGCGGCAGTGTCAGGGCCACTGAGCGGACTGCCAGACTGTCAGGCACCTTGGTGGCCGTGGTGAAGGGGAGGTGTTTATTCTGTTGATGTAGGGGTGTCATAGCTGCTCAACCCAGAACCCCGCAGGGAACACGCGTAGACCAACCAGGGACCTTTTTTTATTCCTCTAAGCCTCTGCCGCAATTGCCCGCTGACAGCGGCTGCCGCGCGCCCCGAGCGCACTCGCGAACATTCTTTTCTTTCTACAATCGGCACGCTTGCCGCCGTATCCCCCATAAGTTACGAAAGTGTCTGTGTACATTTGTGATCATCATTAAGGTGAACACACGAGCGCGTCCACACAGTGCCGAGCCCCAGGTAGCCAGCGTGCCTACGAATGTGCAGTGATACTTGCAGGCGTGGCATTAAGTATTCAGCTACAATGTTCGCGTGTGGCGATCTATGTTAAACTGAGTAAACTATCTAAAAATATCTTGACATTGTAACCATAGGAAAGCAAGCTTTGTGTTTGAGTTGAGTGTGCTCCAAAACTGGTAGTTCCTTCATTTTGTGGCTTTGTGAAGCGCGTCGACGTTCTTTGAAGCTCATGTCAGTCATTCAATATGTGTGAGATTTTCATCCCATGCAGTTGTGAAAGCAGCTCGAATGGTCTCTCCATTAAAAAAAATGGCAGCATATCCACAGAGTGAATGATGGAGAGTGGAACGAAGCATCCATCCGTCCATTCGTTCTTGCTTCCGTCCGTCCATGCGTCCGTCTGTGTGACCATCAATGCGTCCATCCGCCCGTCCGTGCGTGCGTCTGTTCGTGCGTCCACACGTGCATCTGTGCGTCCGTCCCTGTGTTCGTCCATGCATCCGCCCCTGCGTCCGTCCATGCGTCTGTCTGTGTGTCCGTTCGTCCATCTAGTCAACACTCCAAGTACCACCATCTCGCATCTTTTCATCGTATATTCCACATATAGAAGCACCGCCATCCAGCGGACATTCCAAGGACTAAACGAGAGGTGGCACACGCACACTTTCTTACGGCTTGCGCTTCGTGTCTACTTCCCACCTTTAACCCCCTCGAGTTCATGGTATATACTAGTTCACTGTATTCATGACACTGTGGCCCAACGCTCGCTAAACCTTTCTAAAACCAAGGGGGTTACGCCCAGCGAGTATAACGTAGCAACCCGTTCCTGCCAGATAGTGCTCAATGCACATGCCAATTGCTGCTAATGGGGAATGAAAGACACAGGAGAATGTGGCTTTTAGTTAACGCACGCTGCAATTTTTTTGTTGTTCAACAACGCACAGGAGAAATCTCCCACCGGCACCACCTTGCAGGTCAGATGGTAAGACTGGTTACACACTACGACTACGAGGAACGAACGGGTGCCGCTTTAAGGAGCTTCGCCCCTAAAAGAGTTAATTATGCGAAAGGTGCGCAACCGACCGACCTACACATATATTACTGGCTTGGCAGGCATGTTCGTGTAAGTGAAGCTCGCTTCAACGGCACTTTAGTCTCATGCACTTGAAAAGTGACTAAGAGGCCTTTTCTACGGCCACAAGCTATACTCTGCGAGGTTACTTTAATGCGTGGCCACATTCACTTCACTAGCTGAACAAAGCCATGCCTTTGCGTCTTTCTCAGTGCTGCAAATATACACAATCGAGTACACAATCGAGTTTTCGCATTCCTGATTACCTCGAAGTACTTTCTGGCGGACGACTGCCTGGTAAATCCGTACTCGACTACAGTCTGGTCGGCGAGGTCATCGGCGTTCGCCAGCAGTCGGGGCATCGTCTCAGTGGAGAGGAATGGCACAAGGGTAGCCGTGTAGGCGGAAAACACGAACACCACGAAGAGCCACCACACGTTGCCGATCAGACGTCCACCGACGGACCTGGCCAGAAAGATGAAGCACTGTGTCGGAACAGAACGAAAACCAAGAGCAATATCTTTGACTGGAACAAAATTCTAACCGAAACATTATCAATTATTGTTCAGAGAAAGTCACTGACCAATTTCAAACAAAACAAAGGACTATTCGGGATCTGTAGGGATCTGTTGTTCACAATGGAATGATGACTGAGCAACAGGTTCTTACGCAGCGTTGAGTGCATGACGCAAAGTTCAGGAGTACACATGGCTTAGTGTGCCAAATGATCTATTGATTGTGTTACTTGTCGTCTGAATGATTAGTGATTGGAGGTTCAGTCTAGCTGTAAAATTCTCTGTGGCCCCGATGCGTGCGTTGTCCCAGCTTATCTCGTGGCCCATCTTCTCGGCATGCTCTGCGAATGCATTTGTCAATGTGTGGTCCTTTGTGACGTTGTTCTTAGGCTGCTTAAGACGTCTGCAGTAATTTCAACTCGTGCCCACCTACACCGAATCGCAGTCGGTGCATGGTATCTTGTAGACCACACCAGGAAAGTGTTTCCGAGGGCGAGGATCTTTCACATTTAGCAAGTCAGCTTTAAGCTTCCTTGCTGGAACATGCACGATCTCGTTTATTGAACATACGCGCTAGGGCTTCGGCTACATTTCAAATGTAAGGAATCGATGCATGATTTCGCGTAGACGATTCGTTATGCATGGCTTGACTGTTGGACTGCTGTTTATGCATGACAAATGAAGTTGTTTTCCTAACAAAAATTATTGGGGTATCAATTCCTGATCAGGACATCTTGAATGGTCTAGAGCTACTTCTACAGGCTTCTTTTATCGGAACAGGTGCGAATCACTCATTGAGCTAAAGACCGAATCACTGAGTGTTTGTGGGCTACCAGATAGACTGACTCATATTCGAGGTATATACCGGAGTGCGTTGGGTTTCGGTACGCAGCAAAGGCGAGGCCTGTGGGAGCACGTTGTACAACTGCATCCAATAAAGGGAGGCAACCATCCGTTTCTTTTTCCACAGCAAACTTGATGGAAGACTCGACGCCATTTAGGCAGTCAAGGAAGGCTTGGACGTCTTTCTTGTTTATCACGCAGAAGCAGTCGTCGACGCATCTCAGAAAAACCTTGGCTCTCCGCTAAAATGCTTCCAATGCTTTCTGTTCCATTGCTTCCATTGTTATATTCACAGTTGCGACCAAAATTGATGCTCCAATTGCGGTACCGAAAACGTGCCTGTAGAGCTCACTCTTGTACGAGTATTATGTGTTGCACAGGCAAAACCGTCACAAAGTGCACAGCTCCGTGACCTCGAATAGTGTGTGATCCACCAATGTCATGTCCTTGTGAAGCAACTGTCTGCAAGTGTCTACGGCAAGGTGTACGGGTACAGTTTTGAAGAGAGAGCATACATCGAAAAATATTTCGTTGACATCCACAGTGATACACTTCATTTTGCTTATGCAGTTATGGGTGTTACGAAGGTTAGTTTCAGTCTTGCCTGTAAGGGGAGTCAAGATGCCGAGAAGATACTTTGAGAGACTGTAAAAGAGTGAGAGAGAGAGAGAGAGAGAGAGAGAGAAAGGAGAGGCCGGGAGGTTAACCAGATATTGGCATCTGGTTTGCTACCCAGCGCTGGGGGCGGGGAAGTAGGGGCAAAAAAGAGGGGGTAGATAGAGAAAAAAAACGCACGCGCACTCATATGAAAACGAAAACACACACAGGAAGGGGGTCCTAGCTACAACCGTTCAGTAAGGCCGGTCGATCGCAAAAGTGAAGTAGCGCTTTCAGGGCCCTCTTCTGTGAAGTCGCATCCTGTCGATAGTGCAGAATTCCCTGCTCCGACAGAGGTTGATCATCTAATTTGTTGAGTTCCTTGCGAAGGCATAGTCGTTGTTTACTATACGCTAGGCAGTCACAAAGAATATGTTGGATTGTTTCCTCTTTGCCACAGTGGCCACAGGCTGCGGTGTCAGCCATCCCAATGCGGAAAGCGTAGGCGTTGGTAAACGCAACGCCCAACCACAGCCTACATAACAGGGTCTGGTTTGCTCGGCAAAGCCTCGACGAGACTTGAAGACTTAGCGTAGGGTCAAGCGAGTACAGTCGGGCATGCTTGAAGTGTGGCTGATTCCATTGTGATGTGGTTTGCTGGTGAGCGAGCCTGCGGAGCTTTCGTGCAGCGTCTGTCCTAGAAAGTGGTAGTCGTAGTTCATGATATTCTGTGTGGGCTGAGCGGGCAGCTTGATCGGCCCGTTCATTGCCGATGAATCCGCAGTGACTGGGCAACCACTGAAATGTAATTTGGTGCCCTTTCTCAGTCAGGTGGTGTATAACCTCTGCTATCTCTAGTACCAGCTGCTCGTGTGGTCCACGGCGTAAGGCTGATAGTAGAGACTGCAGTGCTGCCTTCGAGTCGCAGAAAATAGTCCACTTGCGTGTAGGTTGATCAACTACAAATTGCAACGCGGCACGAAGTGCTGCCAATTCTCCTGCCGTTGATGTTGTTGCGTGAGATGTCTTGAATTTAATTGTCGTGGCCAACCTCGGTATCACTACTGCTCCTGTAGAGCTTTCCGGCTGAACCGATCCGTCAGTGTATATATGTGTGGAGTCTTGGTATTTCTCATACAAGAGAAGTAGTGTGAGCTTTTTAAGAGCCGGTGACGACAAATTGGCCTTTTTCTGGACGCCAGGTATGTTAATAGCAATCATTGGTTGAGCGAGGCACCATGGCGGAGTCACAGGTCTAGCGGCAGGCGAGAACAAAGTTGGGATTGACTCACCATGTGCGGTCACTGTTTTGCAGTAAGATGTGCATGGTCGGACCACTGGTAGAGAGGCTAGGTGATGTAGAGGAGTTCGAGCAAGGTGTCGTATATGTGTCCTCAGCACTTCCACATTATAGTGGGTCTTGATGAGGTTGTCCCTTGTGATGGCGATAGTTGCCGCTGTTGACGCACTTTGGGGCAAGCCTAAACATATCCGGAGTGCTTGAGCCTGGACACTTTGAAGCATTCGTATGCTTGTTTTACTTGCGTTGGTTAACACAGGTAGGCTGTACCGAAGGAATCCAAGGAAAAGAATCCTGTATAGTCGCAACATAGCAGTTGTGGACATTCCCCAGTTGTTTCCAGTGAAGAACTTGAACAAATGACAGATGCCTGCCAATCGCCTTTTCATGTATGATACATGTGAGCTCCATGAGAGGTCTCTGTCAATTATAACACCTAGGAACTTGTATGACCGCCTTTCGCTGTTTATCAGAACGCTGTAGTTCTGCATTGGTCTGCGCGTAAATGCCACAAGTGCACATTTCTCAGAGGAAATTTCTAGACCTCGTTGACGGAGGTAAATAGCAACTTGAGTGGCAGCTCTCTGAATTCGCGCTCGCAGCTGTAGACGTGTTACTGCAGACGTCCAAACGCAGATGTCGTCCGCGTACATTGACAATCTGACAGTACTTGGCAGATGCTCATTGAGAGCTATTAGCGTCAGGTTGAATAGTACAGGGCTAAGTACGCAACCCTGGGGAACACCACGGTGGCTGTAATGCAGCGAAATGTCACCATCCTCGGTTCTCGCGAAAAAGGATCGCTCAGAGAGATAGCTGCGTAGCCACTGAAACATCCGACCACCCACTCCTACCTCCTTGAGAGCGGTGAGGACAGCTTCATGTGTGACGTTATCATACGCCCCTTTAACATCAAGAAATAAAGAAGCGCAGAGACGCTTACGGCCTTTTTCGTGTTGCACGTAGCTGACCAGGTCTATGACGCTATCAATTGATGACCGGCCATGGCGAAATGCCGTCATAGCGTCTGGGTAGATGTCGTGATGCTCCAGGAACCATTCTAGCCGTCCAAGTACCATCCTCTTCATCACTTTGCCCAAGCAACTAGCCAGTGCAATCTGGCGGTATGATGTGAGCACCAATGGTGATTTGCCAGGCTTCAGTAATGGAACCAAACGGCTGGTCTTCCAGTTAACTGGGAGGGTGCCCTCTCGCCACGAATCGTTGTATATCTCGAGGAGGGCACTCCTCGCACACACACCAAGGTGACACAGTGGTCTGTATGATATTCCATCAGGCCCGGGTGCTAATGTCCGTCTACACAAAGCCAGTGCTGCTTTAAGCTCATGAATAGAAAAAAATTGGTCCATGTGGTGATCGTGTGATGTCGTGCCACCACGTGAGAGCGTGGAGATGTTGGGATCTGCGAGTTGACCAGATAAGTTGGCACAGAACTCTTCTGCCACGTTGACCTCCGATCTCTGTTGAGAGAGGGCTAGAACCTTGAATGGAGACCGCTGAATGGGAGCTGTCCGGAGCCCTCTTATTGTCCTCCACAAGTGTGATAAAGGCTTGCGAGGATCTAACGACGTGCAGAAGGCTGCCCAACGTTGTGACTCTAGCTTGTTTAAGCGGCGTTGTATCTTCTTCTGAAGACGCCTAGCGATTCGTAAATCGTCGATTGCTTTCGTGCGTCGGTACCTTCGTTCCGCACGCCGTCGGAGAGCCCGAAGTCGTTCTAATTCCACATCAAATTCGGTTACTCTCAAAGAGTACGTGAGGGTGCACACTGTGTCTTGCACTGTGGACTTGATTACCTCTTCTAAGTCAAATGAGGTGTTCCCTTGACAGCGTTCTTCCATGAGAGATTCAAACTTGGTCCAGTCCACTCTTTGGATAGTTTCGCGTACCTTGCAAGGTGATAATCATTTGATCTTGACATATGTGGGAATGTGGTCGCTCCCATGTGTTTCTATGTCCGCAAACCATCCGGCACATCTAATAAGACCTCGAGAAACAAAAGCCAAGTCAAGGCAACTGCTGTATCCAAAGCCACGCAAAAATGTTGGCCTGCCATCATTTAACAAGCACAGCCCGTTGTCTGATGCAAACGTTATCAGACTTCTACCCTTTGCGCTGATCTTCGGGCTCCCCCATAACGTATGGTGGGCGTTGAAGTCTCCGATGATCACCCATGGGCCAGGAGTGGA